CCAGAGTCAACCGACTCCTCGACCGGTACAACCGATGGGGGAGGGGGGGTGACGTGAGACACACCAGATGGAGCAGGACGGGGAGGAAGGGGAGCCGGGGCGACCGGGGGAGTGGGGACCAGAAACAGGGGTGGGGAAACTGGGAGACCTCGGTGGGGAAAGCGACGGTAAAAGGAGACAGACTCGTCGAAGGTGACGTTACGGGAGTGAAGGAAGCACTGAGACTGCGGGAGTAAAAGTGCCAGTCAGACGAGTCCAGGGGGAAACCGAGGAAGACACAGGGGACAGTGTGGGTAGTGAGCTTGTCCGTGCCGGAGGCACGGGCGTGAGCAAGGCAGCCCCAGACGTGGAACGCGGACCCGTCACCAAGGAACCCGGTCCAAAGAAGGGTCGGCGAAACTTGCGGCCGCTGAGAGCGCGGCCAGAGGTTAAGCTGGTGAGCAGCGTAGTGAACGGCGAACGACCACAGAAATGGGGTGCACCGGCATGAATCATGTAGGTACATGCCACCTCCATGACCAAGCCGCTCAATTGTACACTTCTCCCTTTACTTGTCCCTCCTTCCCCCTCTCACCCCTCCAGGTGGGCGTGTAGTGCTCGCTATCTCATTATCATCCTTTGCCTCTTCCCCCTCATGGCCCTCTCACCTCCCTCTAACCCCTCAAGTGGGCGTGTTCAGGTCGCTGTCTCAGCTGCTGGACTACGGCTTCTACCACGCGGACCCGCATCCTGGAAACTTCCTGCTCACCTATGATAACAAGCTCGCGTATCTGGGTAAGCTGGCAGATACATAGAAGAGCCAGCCCGTTGTGCAGGTGTACTTCTCTAAGTTGGCAGATATTTAGGAGAGCTAGCCCGCTGTGCTTCGCATCCGTGTCAACTTCCTTGCGTCCTTTGCTGACCAGGCGCTGGCGACATCATGCAACTTACTTGACGGAATGGAGAGGGTTTGAGTCGACTCAAAAGTCACCTCGTTGGCGGCGGCGTGAAACGTGTCATTCTAAGGCTCCTCAAACCACAATGCACACCTCCGCCTTGTACCCCTGTTTCCTTCCCTTAGTGATAGAATGCCTGCCACCTCCTCCCTGTGTCCCTGTTTGCCCGAACATGTCATACTAAGGCCCCTCAATCCACAATGCACTTGCGCATCACCAACCCTTTCCAACCCTCCCCCCAGACTGCGTCGCTCAGTGACCCCATTCTGCTGCGGGGAGTCCGGTTGGAGTACGACTGGGTGATGCCCTCCGCACGATAGAACTGTCCAAGCCGACCAGAGGTGAACTCGCCGCCACAGTCGGAGTGGAGACACAACACAGGGAGACCGCGGTAAAGGCGGGTAGCCACGGCCCACAGGATGAGAACGTCAGGCACGTCGGCCTTCCACTCCAAGGGAAACACCGTAGTGTAGCGCGTGTAGTCGTCGACAAGCACTAGAAAGTAGCGCTCGCGACGCGGTCCGGGGATGGGGGCTGGGCCCGAGACGTCCAGATGCAGGGTCTGAAGGGGTGCGGTGGCAGGACGCACGGCGCAGCCGACCCTCAACACAGGGCGTGCACGGCGGCGTAGGCGAGGAAGGGAGGGCAGGAAGCGACGCATGGAGACCTAGGACAAGACCACGCTGGGACATGTGACGCAGACGCGGGAGTGCGAGGTGACCTAGGCGGTGGTGCCACAGAAGCGACAGGTGAGTGAGCGACCGACACGAGCACGCAGCGTCGACCTGGGTAGACGCAGAACCCGGGAGGTACGGTCCACCCGTGGGGGAAGCAGTGTCATGCGTTAAGAGGCCAGACACCAGGTCGCGGGGGAACGTCGCAAGGGGGGAACCTGAGGCTGCCTCGGCACAGACAGCGTACCGCTCCTGACCCGGGAACGTAGTGGTGACACCGAGGTCCTGAAGACAGCTGAGATTTTAAAACATGCCCTGAATCTCGGGAAGCCGAATCTCAGTCGCACTTCGCGGAATCGCACCCAAACACTTTTCTCGTCAAAATGTGCGACATTGTAGCACGCTGGTAACCCCTGGCCCAACGGTTTCAGTTCCCCTTTCCCCAGCAGTTTCGATTCCCCCTTCACCCACAATTTCGATTTCCCGTTCCCCTGACAATTTCGAATCCCCCTTCCCCCCACAATTTCGATTCCCCCTTCCCCCACAATTCGATTCCTTCTTCCCCGCAATTCGATTCCCCATTTCGATTTGGGCGGTCAAGATCCTCTCGACCTTACTAGGGATTTCCGCACAGCGAATTGATGTTTCTGCCCGGTTTTCTGGTGCTAGTGGTTGTTGACGCGCGATTTCACCCTTCTCGCTTTTTGCAGCTGAGCGGATCTTTTTATACAAGAACAAATACAGTTTTAAAACGAATAAAACGAGAAGGGCGTTATGTAAAATTCAATGTCAGAAAAACGGGTGCTATAAAAAATGCACCGTATCATAAGCCCCCCCTTGTATTAACCACCCATGGAGTGACTATTTCGGCGGGTGTTATATATGGGGGATTACGATAGGCGCATCCCTTTATTTGGCCCACTGGGCACATGGAGTGCAAGTGCGCCTATATCCGTTATTTGATTATTATGCACCCATATTTTTGAAAATGTATTTCATCTAGGCGCATCTTTTTTTTGTGAAACAACTGGTGAAACGCGGATTTTTCATATCGAAGTCTAGGTCGTAACCCCCCTAGCGCTTCCCAAACAAGAAGCACAATGTTCGCTTGCTGCCTTTGCTCAGATTAGCTAGAAAATTCATCCATCGCACGGTGGATTTGCTTGCAGAAACTTCGTCGGCCATTTCCTCATGTTTTGTCAAATGCCGCCCAGCGGAAAGAAACGCACTAGAACATAGATGTCAAGAGCTACATTTTTATGTGCTCAAATTCGTTTTCCATAAAATCCCTTAGTTAAAGCCGTTGACCCAAAACGTACAAGATTAATAAAGATGAACCAGGCAAAAAGTTGAGCTGGAGAAAGGACACGGGTGTGGAGGAGTGGTGTGAGGGTGGCGAGAGTGGGCGAACACAGCATACTACGAAAACCAATCAGAACGAGCATACAATTTTTGACAGAATCAAAACGTTTTCAAACAACGACTGGGGGAAATCGAGGGTGGGGAAAAGGAAAGCGGGGGCGCGTGCAAGTCGCAGGGGGGAGTGGGGGAAGAATACCTGGTCAGAGCGGCGCACGGCACACAGCGCGGAACACTGGAAACAGCGGGAAGGAAGGGCACGTGACTCTGGGTTGCGCATCCTGGCCGAGTTGCGCAACTCGCTTGGAATTGCCAAGCAACTCGACTTGCGCATATCAGGGCATGGTACACCTTATATCACGAGTATGTTTTCAAACTGAAATTCAAACAGCTGATGCGGTTGTAGACGTTCAGACTATTTTCAACGCGATCAAATAGGCTTTTTTTCTTTTTTCTTTTCGAGTTCAAGTCGCGTACCTCACTTGAAACGATTTGTACCGTGCCCTAATAAAAACTGGCGTGTGCTGTGCATGGTGTTTTCGCTGCCTAGGGTGTAATGGCGCTGGGCTGGGTTTGCACTCCAAAAAGTCCCAAAATGTATGGGGGGAAGTTCAAGTTTCTTACCACTCAAACGCCTGGTGTGGCGGGGGCAGGGACATAATCAGCCGGGGGGGCGCAAGATTACAGACTGTTTCGCGTCGTTTTGTTGCGCAACTTTCGTTTTTGCTCTCGCTTTGGGGAACTGGGTTACCAATCGGGGGGTTTCAAGATTAATAAACTTGAAAGGCAATTTCTGCAATTTGGGTCAACGGCGGCTTATCAATTTTATTTGATTACAAGCGCATGCCACTTTTGCCAGGTTTTCCTTATAAGCCCCTTTGCACCTATATCCGGGGGATTACGGTATGTGCCAATTGGGGCCATACATAACCCATTGTTGGCTCAAATTGATATCAGATGTATTTTTCAAACATATTTGTATATGTTATGATAGGCTAGATAGGTCCCTGCTCTTAGAGGGTAAAACACTTGAACAAAATCAACATGTATGCCTAATTCTAGTAAAGTTTTCTACTCTGAGATGGTATCACGCGCTAGGTTAGGTCCTCCCCGCCCACCCGCGCTTCCGCTCTCGTCCTAGTCCTAGCTGCCCGCCCCTTAGCACCCCCTTAGCGCCACGTTAGTGCCCCGTTAGCGCCCCGTCGGCCCCCTCTGGCCCATTAGCGCCACGCCGGCCCGTTAGCGCCCCGCCGGCCCGTTCGCGCCCCGCCGGCCCCATGCGCCCTCTAGCCCTGCTCGTCCCCTCGGCCCGCTAGTGCTCCGCCGGCCCGTTAGCGCCCCACCGGCCCGTTAGCACCCCGCCGGCCAGTTAGTGCCCCGCTGGCCCCGTGCGCTCCTCTGGCCCTGCTCGCCCCACTGGCCCGTTAGCGGCTTGACGGCCTTCGATCACGCCCCGTCGGTCCCGTGCGCCCCTCTGGCCCCGCTTGCCCTCTAGTCGAGGCGCTTGACACAGGAGGATTATGGCCCTGTTGTCAGCGTACAGGACCGGGGCAGAGCTAGGCCACTCACCTAAGTCTGTGAGCAAGAAGGTCATCCAGCAGAGCTACTGTGCCGCCATGGCGCAGACGTTATCATAGGATCAAATGTGTCGAAGAAAAGTTGCACTATCGATTGATACAAGGCGCTTTTATACTTCCTAAGTACATCAGGTAACTAGGTTCATCCTATCCTAAGGGAATAGACCCTTCTAGAAATAGAACCACCCTGCGTTTAGCCATGCGGGGCTATTGGCTCTAATGGACTACGGCATGATTACGCTAGATATAGCGCGCCAGTACATCCCGAGCCTGGTCGGTGATATTATCATAATAACAGGATAAACCAAATGATAATGGAATAGGAGAATTAGGAAACCAAATGAGATGAGAGAAAAAGAGGAATGAAATTGAAAGGAGAGATGGAAAGGAAATTGGTGTAACGGGGTCGTACTTTCACACTTCCCCCCCTCAAAGCTGGGTGGTAGAAGTAACACCCTGCTTGACAAGGTAGTTGCGAAGAGGACGACAAGCGTTACCCATCTCGGATTCAGGAACCCAAGTGTTCTCAGAAGGATCATAACCCTTCCAACGAATGAGAAGCTCCACGGTTCCATTCCGACGACGGCGGTGTGCGAGCACGGACTCGACCTCGTACTCAGGTTCATCGTGGACAAGGACGGGCGGCGGCGGCGGCGGCGGCGGCGGTTGGCGTCTGGTGAAGACCGTGTTAGGGTCTCGATAGGGCTTCAGAAGTTGGACATGGAAGGCGTTGTGAATCTTCTAGGTAGCGAGCAGGTGTAAGCAGAAGGTACCAGGAGTGACGTGTGCTTCAACGAGAAAGGGCCCACAGAAGCGAGGTCGCAGTTTGAATGGGAGATGACTGATATTGATATTGCGGGTGTCAAGTAGAACTTGGTCTCCCACGATGATGGTGTGGTCAGTGCGGTGGCGATCGACCTGGCGTTTCTGTTGCTGCTGAATGTCGACGAGGCGCTTGTGGGTCCGATCCCAAAGCTGATGCATGGTTGTGATGAATTCGTGTGCGGGTTGAACTGTAGCTGATGCTGTCAGTTTTTGTGGTGTGAGCAGGTGGCGTCCGTAGCAGAGGAAGAACGGCGTCTGTCCAGTAGCGGCGTGAGTGACGTTGTTGTAGGCAAACTCCACGATGGACAGATGCAAGTCCATTTAGAGATGTCGTCTTTGCATGCTGCGCAGAGGAGTTGCTCTACAATTTGGTTGAGGTGCTCGGTCTGTCCATCTGTCTGCGGATGGTAGGCGGATGACAAGGGGAGTTTGGTTCCGAGTAGAGACATTAGTTCCTTCCAGAACTTGCTGGTGAACTTGGGGTCTCGGTCAGAGATGAGTGTGGTTGGAATGCCATGTTGAGAGATGCAGTAGCGAACGAATAGTTGTGCTGTTTCTTCGGTGCGTGCTGTCGTGTGTGTCGGGATGAAGTGTCCCATTTTGGAGAATTTGACGATGACGACGAGGATTGCGTCATGACCGCTTGTGGTAGTTGGTAACCCGGTTATGAAATCCAGGCTAACCACTTGCCATGGTTGTTCTGGGACAGGAAGAGGCTGTAGCAGTCCTGCTTTTTTTATGCTTGCTGCTCTTCATGTGCTGACATGTTGCACATGAGGTGACAAATTGTTGGACGTCGGCTGTCATGTGGGTCCACTAGTAGTGCTTTGCAATACAGGTGAGCGTTTTGTTGCTACCGAAGTGTCCCGAATATAGGACATCATGGTATTCTTCGAGTAGTAACTGGCGCAAAGGAGGGTAATTGGGTACCCAGATTTTTGTTGATCCCTTCCAGTATGCGATGTGACTGTCCTACTGTAGCAGGTGTCGTTTTGCTGCCAAAGGAATTTCGGGGTCGATGGCGTACCCGTGTGTGCAGAGTCCCTTGAGAAGTGGGTTCATCCCTTCGACCTGGATTGCGGCAACGTGTGCAGGCCGACTAAGAGCGTCTGCTTTGTTTTTGTGGCCGGGCTTGTACACGATGTCATAGTGGAAGTGCGTCACGGAAAGTCAATCCACCAGACCTACCGCCTGGAGAGGTTTGGTTGTGTCTTCAAATATTTTACGCTGCAGTGGTCGGTGTAGACGATTGTTTGTCGTCCTTCGAGATAACATCTTCACGTTTTGAAGGTGATGATAATAGCAAGGGCCTCCTTGTCGTATACCGGGTAGTTTAGTTCAGCCCCGTGTAGTTTCTTGCTGAGGTAGGCGATTGGTTGCAGTCCATTCCCCTAGTCTTGCATCAAGACTGCTCCCACTGCCTGGTCGCTAGCGTCAGCTTCGATGACGTAGTCGCGTTTGGGGTCTGGCAACATGAGTACGAGTGCGGACGTGAGTGCTTGTTTCAGCTGCTCCATGGCTTCCTGATGGTGTGGTTCCCACTTATAGGGCGTGTTCTTCTTCAGCAGATTCGTGAGTGGCGTTGCAGTTTTTGCGTACTGTGGCACGAACCTATTGTAATAGTTCGCGAAGCCTGGGAACTACTGCAACTCAGTCACGTTCTCGGGTGTCTTCCACGTGCGTACGGCTTTGATCTTCTTGGGGTCGACGTGAACTCCTTGAGCCCTCACCATGTGTCCTAGGAATTGGACTTTCTCGAGGGCGAATTCTCTCTTGGATAACTTGACGTAGAATCGTTCTCGTCGGAGAATGTCGAAGACGCGTCGTAGGTGTTGGACGTGTTGGTGCATGTCGCGCGAATAGATGAGGATGTCATCCAGGTCTACCACTACGCCTTCCTCCAAGAGTGGGCATAGAATATGGTTCATTTCAGCTTGGAACGTTGCTGGTGCGTTGGTGAGTCCGAACGGCATTACGAGATACTCTTACGACCCGTATCGAGTTCGAAAGGCAATTTTGTGGATGGAATTGTCCGCCATTCGTATCAGCCAGTATCCGGACCGCAGATCTAGTTTGGAAAATACCGTGGCTCCCGAAGCTGGTCAAGCAAGTCATCGATTCGTGGGATTGGGTATTTGTTCTTGATGGCCTGCTTGTTGAGAGCTCAGTAATCGATGCACATGCGCAGGCTTCCGTCCAATTTCGGTGTGAAGAGTACTGGGGCACCGTATGGCGAAGTGGATGGTCGGATGAGTCCTTTTGCGAGGAGATACTCAATCTGCTTCTTCATGTCGGCTAGCTCTGTGGGGCTGAGCCGATATGGTGCTCGGAAGGTCAGCTTCGAACCTGGTTCTTCCACGATCTCGGGCTGGTGTGTTTGGTATGGCGACAGCTCGTTCGGAAGGTTGTCGGGAAGAATGTCTTGGAACTCCTTCAGTAATTCCTTGATTTTTTTGTGGAGGTTCCGAAGTTTTCTCTTCGTCATTTTCCACATCCATTGCTATCGCCAGGAATCCGGTGTCAGTTCATTTTACGTCCTTGTCAAATCTTACGAGTGTCTCCACTGGGATATCTCCTGCATCGTCCCAGTTGGGTAGTTGGACTCTCCTCCACTGTTGTAGATGCGTGCTGTACGATTTAGCCAGTTGATCTCGGGTTGAATCGTTTTAGGAAGTCTCGCTCGAAGATCAAGTCAAGCCCTTTTATGTTGGTGATGGGGAGTGCAGGATTCCAGCGCAGTGGTCCGATTTGTAGGTGTAACACTGCTTCGCCGTGTACTGGTAACTTGTTGCCATCCGCTATCGTTGCAGAGAATGCTGAAGGCTTGTGCTCTTCCCAAAGTCGGTCGATTACTGCCTTGTCGCAGACGGTGTGGATGCTCCGCTGTCCAGGAGTGCTTGGAGGCGTTGTCCTTTGCTGATGACCTCGAGCACGAGGGGCGGGCGTTGCTCGGAGTACCCAAAGATAGTTTCGTTAACAGGATCATAGGGTACATCCCAATATTCCATACACACCTTTTTCTTGCTATCTGCTCGTGGGTTAGCAGCTGGCCGAGGCTGCTTGGAGAAAGTCTCTCCCTCAAGACCCTGAGCTTTCTTGATGACTG